GAGAGCTATTTTGAAGTATCCAAATTTCAAACATTTTATTGAATATCATTTTCATATGTACATTTGATATGAATTTTTGCACAGCAATTTCGACTATTTGAATTGTTTTGTGTTTTGATGAAAACTTTCCAACCAGCTTTTAAAAACCAAACAGGGTACCCCAACCCCACTCCCTGTCAGAAACCTGTTTTTTAATACTCTTTAGTTCTAGTTAAATTTTTACGCACTTGCAAAACAATAAGGACATAATATAAGTGTCGAATGTGGTTGTTGTTATAAGAGAGTAACCAACACAAAAAAAGAAGAGGAAAAATGTGGACAATAAATGTTTGATAGGAAAGAAGTAGGAAACAACACCAGAGCACCCACTAACCACTCTCTATAGTCCTCTGGTATATAATATAACATTAAGGTTATAGGGCTAAAACAGCACCTTAACATTATGTAGCTGGTGTCTCTATAAATAAATTATCAATGGTGAATACGAAGTTGAACATAAAACGTCATTTGCTGGTACTTCTGTGATTATAATATTAATGACGAATACAATGTTACCAGAACTTTGCTGTCATAGCAATGCATCATATAAACACATGCTTTAAAGTTGTCAGAGCCTTTTTGTCATTTTGATGTATCATACAATGTTGATATCATGATATATCATCTAAATAAACACTACTCTATTATCAGTCTTGTATGGTGATATCTCATGTAAATAAACTCCCTTCTATTATCAGTCTCGTTGCCATGGTGATATCTCATCTAAATAATCACTACTCCTTCATCAGTCCTGTTGCCATGGTGATATCTCATCTAAATAAACACTATTCTATTATCAGTCATGTTTGCATGGTGATATATCATGTTAACAACCACTACTTTATTATTAGTCTTGTTGTCGTGGTAATATTATATCATGTAAACAAACACCATGCCGTTACCCAGTCTTGTTGTCAGGGTAGTATGTAGGCCTATCGTATTTAAGCAAATCGTAATTTACCAGAGTTTTGTTGTCATGTGTTAGATCCCCGTCTCCCAGAAAGTCGTCGTAGTAAATCCCGCCCTGTTCGTCTTTCTTGCCCTTGGACAGGATGTATTTGGTCATCTCTCCTTCCACGGCGCTCTTCAGTATCTGGTACACTGTCTCCATGATCTGGGAAGGGGAGTTTGGGGGGGGGGGGTGTACACTCAGAAGCAAACACTCAAACACAATAGCGAGTGCACGCACGCACGCACGAACGAACGCGCACACACATACATACACATACACACACAGACGCACACATATGCACACACACACATACGTACACACGTATACACAGACAAATGCACACACACACACAGGTGCATGCATACACAAATACACACACACTCACACACACACATACACACACACATACACACACACACACACACACATTCACTCACATACACACACACGCTCGGGCGTGCACGCACTTGCAAGTGAGACACAAACTGTCGAGTAAGACAATCACGCAAAAAAACAACAACACACTCTTAAATAAAACAAACAAACAAAACAAAAATGTTCACATAAAAGACACTTGCAAACAAGATAGCTAGTTTAACAAAAAACAAACAAACAAGCAAACAAGACAGATGCTTTCCAAATAAAAGAAACAAACAAAACAGATACTCTCAAGGAAAGCGAAGGAACACGACAAATACTATCGGATAAAACAAATAAACAAGACAAGCACTCTCAGACAAAACAAACAACCAAGACAAACATCCTCATACAAAACAAAGAATCTAGGTAAACACTCTAGGATTTTAAAAAAGAACTCAAAGAAACAAGACAAGCATTCTCACCAAACAAAAAAAAACCAAACGTGGAAACAAGACAGACACTCTCGGAAAAAACCCAGAGAAGACAAACATTCTCACATAAACATAGAAACTAGACAAACACGCTCGGATAAAAGACAAACACTCTCACTTAAAACAAACAAGACAAACTCTTTTACATAATCAAACAAACAAACAAACAAACAAACAAACACACAAGACAAACCCCCTCATTTTAAACAAACAAACAAACAAGACAAACACCCTCACACACAAAAAAAAACACGCCTCACTGGTCTGGGCAGAGGTCCTTTCCTTCTCTTCTGGTCCATCACGGCAAAGGAGCGGGCTACGAACCAATCAAACTCTATCTGTGATGGGTAATAGAGCAGAGCGACATCCGGGCGGTTCGTCATGTTTGTGTTGATCTCATAGGCCAGTAGGGCGGACGTGTTGTGGTACAGGCTCTGGGGAGGGCAGGGTTTGGGAGCAAGAGAGCGAGGAGGGGAGTTTTGTCATTCATGACTGGTTAATATAGAGGCAGAATTGTTCGTCGTATCGATTTAACATAATCGTCACTGTGCTAGTAACATGGCACATAGCACATCTCATTTTTGCACCTTTTGAGATAACCGAAAAAAACCCTGTTTAACTAGACTATTTATTGTCATCTGATAATGGTAAAACTTGCCCTGTCTCTTTTGTGACTGCGAGTACATACTTTTTGTTTAGAATTTACCAAAAAGATAGATATATAGCACTACCAAACTAAGTAAAAGGCAAGTTTCATTTTGACATAACTCAAAGTAATGCCATTTTGCTAGAGCAATGACAATATAGGTCTACTTATTTTAAGTCATTTCCTTTTGTTGCTGTTGGTTGTTTTTTTTTACATAATTAGTATAGTCGTCAGTGTAACACTGCTTTTATACAGTAAGGTTACTGAAGAGGTAGGGCCTACGAATTTAACGTCCATCTCCGAAGAACTGAACCAAATGGGTGGAGATTTTTTTTAAGTCCCCAGAGTTCAAAACCCACTGTTAAAGAATCGAGCCAAGGTAACACGCTTTGTAGTCCCGCATGATACCATGTGGGCTAAAGGTACACCCCGACAGAGAAGTCTCAATGACAACAAAAGTTAGGGGTTTACAAGGCTATTTGTGGTTAAGCTTTTAAAACGGCTGTTGTCTTCTTTTTTTTTCAAATGTAGGTATTTTATGACACCCCCGTGGACAAAAATTGAGTCGGGCTTCGGACACTGCCTGTCAGGGCCTACCCGGGTTGAGAGGGGTGCAACATCCCAGCAGAAAGATCGAGATAATCACATCAAATCACTGCCTTTCTCACCCTGCATCAGGGTATAGACCACGAACAAACTCGTTCCATCCTTCTATATCATTGGCTAGCCTCTTCATGTTATTCCAACTCTTCCCACTTTTCTGTACACCATTTTCTGTACACCATTTTCTGTGACTCTTCTGCAGGTTCCACATGGCCTTTTCCTTAATTTGTTCTTACTACTTGTAGTTTACAGCTTTATAGACACCAATTGTGTTTTCGATTTTAAAAAATGAAGTATAGATCAGAGCACCAGAAACAGAGGAGGGTGGAAGAAGCAGACACAACAGCCGGAGCGAAAAAGAGGGAGAAAGAATAGAAGAACAGAAAGAGGGAGGAAGAAGAAAAGAAGAAATCAAAATGAGGGAGGGAAAAAGAAGAATAGAAAGAGAAAAAAAGAGAAAAAACCTAGAAAGAGGCAGGAAGAAAAAAAGAAAAGAAAGAGGGATGAAGAAATGAAGAAGAGGGAGATACGACAGCAAAGACGAGAGCGGAAATGAGACCAGTGAGTAGGGGGCTGGCTGGATCATTCTGCGTGAGAGTCGTTTACCTCTATGACAGGGTCGTCTAAGACCTTCGGACTCACTAGGCCATTGAGAACAGCTGAGGTGATCCCAAATACGGTGTTCGCCGCCACTGAATGAGATCAAGAAAAGCAAAAATCTCTCAATTGAAAATCAACACACAAACTGTTGGTGTCTGCAAAAGGTCACAAAACTGTCTCAAGATTCTGTCTACGTTATGGAAATAGTACTAACATACAAGTCACATTCTTTCTGATGAAATGAACAAACAAACAAGACAAACATCATTGGATAAAACAATAAACGAAATAACAGGAAAATCACTCTCCGATAAAAAAAAACAACCCAGTAACCAGCCATTCTATGACGATCAGATTCGTCAGGACCATGGCCTCCTTCTACACTTTCTGAGAAAAAGCGTATCCATTGTTAGGAACGATCTACCTCCAACGTACATACACTTTTCATATTAACGTAATTTCGTTTACTTCTGTACAGAAAATGAATATGGACAAATTAATGGATTAGATACAAATATTAGACTCCTTCACTGCCTGGCCCGAGACTGTCACGGGCTCTCTGGTTGGACTATGAGTAGAGCTGGAATGGGGGATATACCCTCACTTCCTCCTCTCATTCCCAAGCCCTCATCCCTCCCTACCAGCCTACCAAAATCCGTCCTATTCCCGACTCTTCGCTGAGGAGTTTAAGATTCATTAATGACGTCTGATGGTGCAGATACCAACCTGTGGCATCGACGTTGTTGATTTGAAAAGGCATCCCCACTCCTTTGTAAAATTCTGTTCTCATTTCGTCAATGTTCTGGATCTGTCGGTGCAAAAATGAAACAAATCTCAAATGCAGTACTGAAAGCAGCCAATGTGGGACCGTCAATATAGCTCGTTCAACTCAAAAACATGTTTTATATTGTTTTGGTTATTTTTTGTTGGTGGGTTTTTTTTGG